ATTATTATTATTATTTGAAATGGGGGGTCGTTTTTCCCTCCCCATAAATGAGGAAGAGAAGCCTCTATTTGAGGTCACCCTAAAAATAGGACCAAGTTTAGGGGAACTGGTGGAGACAGTTTTTGAGAGAAAATCTCTATTTTTTAGATAAAAAAAGAGAAATAATGAGGCTCTTGGAGATGCTCTAATGGCATTTAAACATCTATATCTATATCTATATATTAAAAGTCAACCTATTTACCAAAAATAGTAGCAAGAAAAGTCAACACACATTTAATGTAAACTTTATTTGGAAATTTTTTACTATATGCATTAAATGCTTGCATATTTACATTTATTATCCAGATATGATCTTAAAGATTTTTTCCTTAAATAATTTTTACTGATATCCATTATAATTAATATTTGTCGAGTAATATTTTTTAACCTTTATTTAATTATATAAAACTAATATTTTTTTAAAAAAATTAAAATTATTTATCATTTAAAAGATAATGATCACATCATTAAATGATTTTATTGATGGTCAGATAATAAAATTATATTAGTTATTCTTTAAAATTTCGACATGTTATTTATTTGTATATTATTGTCAACTATGATAGTGTTTTTATCACTTTTTTTGTTATGTTTCAAAAATGAACTTATTGTAAAATATTTTTCTATTGCATAATATGTTAAATAAACTATAAAGCCTTAGGATGAAAATTAGAAAAAATCTTTTGATTATGTAAGGGATTTATTTTTTGGCAATTGCTAAATCATTAAAAAAAAAGAATTATTATGAGAAAATTGAATTCTAAAATACATGTGTGTGTATTTTGTAAACATTTATACTCAAAATTTTATTTTGAATTTTATTACATAAAGAAGACTACTTCTATAACTTCTATAAATAATAATAATGACATTATATGACTATAAATTTTACAATAAAATAATAATTGAGTATTATATGGTGAACAAGAATAAATAAAATTTTTATTTTTTCTTATATCAATGAATAAATATGTATTCTAAAATCAAATAAATATTAATATGACATGTTAGCGGAATTATATATTAATTAACATGTTAATTTTTTTGCTTAAATAAACGCCACTTATTAAAAGATGTGAAATATGGATGATCCAAGCCTATTGTTTTTTTGTCTAGACGTACAAGTCCTATAGAAATAATTGATTTATTATATGTATCACATGCATAGCACGGGGTATGCACTAGTTCATTTAATAAAATAAAATAACAATATTAATAATGCCGAGATATCCGAAAAATCCATTATTCAAATGGATTATTTTCGTTTCACGCGATTAAACTGAAATCGACTAATGACGAACGTTTTTCAATAAAACGATCGGGTACTCCAACCTTTCATGTAAGTCGTCATCGCGACTAATAAAATAAATATAATAACCTTATAAATAATATTCGATAAATAGAATATTCCGAGAAATTCTATAAATCGAACGGGCACATGTTTGGCTTTGCTAAAAGTTTTTGTTTGATTTGCTCATTGATGAGAATTGAGATCTAATATTTTCTGATTGTGTAGTGATATTGTCGTCTCCTTTATCATCTGAGTTCCCAGTCATCCAGAAACTTATTAATGTTGCCTGCTAAACGCCAAAGACCCAGTCGTGTATCTACAACCTGTAAGTACTAATTTTCCATCCTTTGTTTGATATTTCTCTATCCTCTTGTTTGCAACTCACTTCGACAAAGCTATAAATTTAAGTTAAATTCTGCCCGTTTTGATAGGGTGCAGTGAGAGATTCTCTGACCGCGCTCATGACTGGCGACAACCGAAAGTTTCGGGCGGGTGGCATTTGAATGACTGCACTGTGTGGCGGCGACGACTCTGTGATGACGTGGCATCTTAGGTCTGTGGCAGCCTAGCGACTGAGAGCATCGAGCGGCACTGCGTCTAACTGCCAGTGAAGTCTGTTGGAGCACAGCGGAGATCGGCGGTCGACACGCCGACTGAGAGATGCACGACTGTGAATCCCATTGGTAAGTTTTCTTCAGTACAATTTTCTACTTTTTTCGTTATTTAGGTATGCATATTTTGTTGAGCTGTTCTTATGAGCTTAACAATACCAATTCTAATTTTTTTGATGTTACTAAATAAATTTAGTCCATGAAACTTACTTTCTCACATACTATTTTTTCGAAGGAAAAATACAATTGAATTTTCGTTGGTTTTTCAACTTTTGTATAGGTTGTGCATCCTATTCATGACCAGGATTTGTTTGGATGAGAAGCACAAAAAACAATTGAAGGAGGGATTTGGTAAGCTTATTTTATTTTATTTATATGTCCGTGCATAATTGTGTATGCAAAAGTAAATTACCAAGAAACCTTATTGTCTTTGAATTATTTATGCTAACATTGTCATTTCTATTTTCGATTGTCTTGAAGTTTATACCTTCAACATCAAATAATGTAACAATAGCAGAACAACAAATTTTCTATCCATAAAAGACTAAGTAACTTTGGTTTAATGTTAATATGTTTTCTATTGTTTAAAATCTTGGTTTTTTTTTTTTTTTTTGTTTATTCGTATCCTTCAGGGTTCACTGCGAGCATCAATCGTCAGGATAGGTCATGGAGAAGGCACCCCAAGCTACTGAAGTTGGCTTGAGCAGACAATGGCCTATGAAACCATGACTTGCAGCAGTTGGATTTTGTTGCCTTATAGGGATTATCTGTTGTGGGCCTTGTGGCCAATAAATCCCATCCAATGTCTGAAGAGATCGAGTCGTGCTTGAATGATCCGACGTCTCTTAGAGACTGCACCTGTTCATCAAATATTTGTAAACTGAGAAGTATGATAGCAATATGTACAAGCAACTTCAAGCATTGTTTTAAGAGTACCCGCTGGATTTGTAATCAGAGTACCCGATAGTACCAGCGGGTACTCTCCGAAATACCCGCTGCATTTGTAATCTATCAGTCGCATGCCTTCAATATTTTTCCCCATTGGTCGAATTGAATAATTTACAAACCATGACAATGACAACCAAAAATAAAAGAAACGTTCAAAACGAAAGTTTAAAATTAATAATAAACAAAATCCTACAGATTCGATAAATCAACTAAAAATTATTTACCAAATGAGATACATAACACAAAGGTACACATGACACACGGACAATCATAAAGATAAAAAATATACACTCATTTGCTCTTTGTTTTGTCCTAAACTTTGCCCCAGTTGCTTACAAAACTAATTAGCCTCAACTATAAATTGCCAATCAAATACACAAAATAAATTAAAAAAAATATTAATGCTTTTGTTAATTAATAAAAAACTTAATAAATTGACTTCAACTTGATTTCTTATGGATTGATGTCAAATTATTTGAATGTAATTTATAAATGCCATAAAATGTGCGGTAACTATGTTTTAACGTCTTCACAATTATAAAATATAGTTATAGACTGGACTAGGGCCGGCTGTGCGTGCACAACTGAGTCCACACTAGTATTACTAAAAAAAGAAAGTCTATAAATTAATATATTAATTTTCTATAAAAAAATATGAAATGACATTTTAGTAACTTGTTTACCATAGGTTTGAAAAGTTATATTAAAAAACTAAGTGCAAATACTATTGTAAACGACTATTCCAAATATCAATTCTTTGACATTAACGAAGAAACTAACAAGTCATATCCCGAGTTCGAGTCACTGGGAGGAAAATTGGGGAACTAGTGTTAATCTCCTGTGTGTGTAAAAGAAAAATGAAAAAAAAAACGAAGAAACTATTATAAAATGCGAGCAATATAAAGAACACAATGTATAAAAACCGGATATAAATCAAACTTTCTTTTGCTTTTGCTTCTATTTTCGTACACAAAATTACAATCACTTTTNNNTATGTATATATATCCTTGACTGTGGCAGAGCCTAACTTGTCAAGAATAATAGTAATATGTATATATATCCTACCTTTCTTGACCGGGTAGAGCGTTCGTGCTGATAACGTATTATAAAATGCGAGCAATATAAAGAACACAATGTATAAAAACCGGATATAAATCAAACTTTCTTTTGCTTTTGCTTCTATTTTCGTACACAAAATTACAATCACTTTTGGCCCTTTTATAGACCAATTTTAAGTGTCTTGGCACACACTCCAATACATATAATAATAATCCACATGATAAGATTCTAATTAGTGGTAAATTCCACTTATCATAACAGAAACCAACAACTCTTCATAATAGATCTTTAAAAATTGTAATGAGTAAATTTAATTAATTATATGTCAAATATTATATAAATGTTTTTAAAAAATTCAAAATTTGGTAAATCTAAAAATGATATAAATATTCATAAGAAACAAAATAAATAATAAAAAAATGTATTTATTTTATTTTTTATAGTATGCGTTCTTGGAGAGTGTATGAGCCCATCCCCTATCGTTCTCCAAAAAAATAAAAAAGAAAAAAAAAATGAGGGGACCTTCAATGACCAAAGGACAACAGTCAACTTGGTCTTTTGTGGATCATTTAATTGTATTAGAAATGGGACCTTTATAGATTTGCTGGATGCCTCCAACCTTTTTACACTCATCATGCTTAATGCTGACAAACAAAATTCACAATTATTTTCAGACCTTCAAAGATCTCTCCTCTTTTATTGAACTCCTTTAACAAAATTCTGAAGTTTCCAGTTTTCACTCCCACACAAAGAAAAGACCCAATTTTCATCAGATACTTTGGTTCTTGCTCAAATTCGAACTTCCCAGGTAAAAGGGTTTCTCTTTTTTCATCACTTTTGTGCAAGAAATCCGTGCATAAAAAAGTTGTCTTTTAAAGTGAAGTTAGATCTTGCTGCTCCTTATTAACAATGGAGTCATGGAGTTGATTGGGTTTTTTTGTTTGTTTTGATTCTGACAGTTTAAATTTCACTTTCTTTTATCATAAAAGCAAGGTCAGATTCCACTCACGAAACCTAATAAATCAGTTTTGTGGTGAGATTTATGGTCGTAGGCCCTGACTCGTACTGAAGAAGTGTTGTGGATATCTGAGCTGTGTTGTGCCCACTTACATCTCATTTTATTTGTCTGTCTATCTCAATAAGTAGTAGTCCTTTGAGTAGATCAGCCCTTTTTGCTTTCTCTATATTCCAGATTGCTGCTATCAATTCTGTGTTGTGAGGTTTGTACTTTCTTGGCTTTCCCAAAACGTACCTAGAAATCTTTCCACTTTTTTTAGATCTCAGAATTTTACCCTTTTTTCCAGATGGTTACTAGATTCTGATGTTGATGGCCCCTTTTTGTTGGCTTATTTTGATTTTTTTTTTCTTTTTTCCTTTTTTTCCTTTCCCTTAACATAGGTTCTTGTTTTAGTACATATACCGCCTATGTTGTGGATTTACAGTAGTTTGTTGCTATTTTATTAAATTAGTCACTAAAAGTTCTAATTTTTTTGTTATGTACGGAAGACTGGTTTTGAGTTTGATTCGTTGGTCGAAAAAATGGTGAACGGAGCTGCATTGGTAGCTATTGCTGCCACAATTGGCAACTTATTGCAGGGATGGGATAATGCAACCATTGCAGGTTAATTTTGTCTTTCACTATCTCAGTTCATTTATATACACTCGTTAATTAAATCACCTGAATTTTCCATGTTTCCGGAAAAGTATAATATCTGACATTGCAAGAATTTTGAAAATTAAGCTTGACATGTCTGTTATTGTTCAGCTGATTATGCAGTGTACTATTTCCTTTTAAATTTCGTAAAACACTCTGCTTTTTGGTCCAATGTATATTCTTGTGATTTTTTTTTCTACATCATGTAAATATTTAGGTGCGGTTGTTTACATAAAAAAGGAACTCGAATTGGGAGCCGCCATCGAGGGCCTCATAGTGGCCATGTCCCTAATTGGGGCCACAGCCATTACTACTTGCTCGGGAACAATATCCGACTTAATTGGCCGACGTCCAATGCTAATCCTCTCATCTATGTTTTATTTCCTTAGCGGATTAATAATGTTGTGGTCCCCTAATGTGTATGTCCTACTTCTGGCAAGGCTTTTGGACGGTTTCGGGGTGGGCCTTGCCGTCACTTTAGTACCTCTTTACATATCCGAGACAGCACCGTCTGAGATACGAGGCTTGTTAAACACCCTTCCTCAGTTCACAGGCTCAGCCGGCATGTTCCTGTCTTACTGCATGATTTTCGGGATGTCATTATTGCCCTCACCTAGCTGGCGATTGATGCTCGGAGTCCTTTTGGTCCCTTCTCTGTTGTATTTTGGGCTGATGGTATTCTACTTGCCTGAGTCTCCTCGGTGGCTGGTGAGCAAAGGGAGGATGCTGGAGGCCAAAAGGGTTTTGCAGCGCTTGAGGGGTCGCGAGGATGTTTCTGGTATATTCTCTCTCTCTCTCTCTCTCTCTCTCTCTCTCTCTCTCTCTCTCTCTCTCTCTCTCTTCTCTCTCTCCCCACTCTACATTTTTATTTTTTCCAAGCATGAAATTGCGTCTTTGTTGCAAATGGAGCTGGAAGAGTCATTGTTGACAATTCTCCTGGCATAGTGCTAATAATGGACTAGATCAAAAGGGCTCAATTAAATTATAGTGCTTCTTCTATTAGTGAAGTTTCTAGAAAAAATATATCAAACGGCGCAATGCATCTTGGGTCGCTTCCGAAACAGCCTCCTGTATAATTACAAGGGTAAGGTCTGCATACAACTGACCCCCCAGACCCCAACCTGTTGGGAATATACTGGGTACGTTGGGAATATACTGGGTACGTTGATGATTGATGATGATGAAATTGCGTCTTTACCCTGACCGTCGATATTTTGGTTTTGCAGTCTTAGACTCTTACGTCTATTTATTGAGTTTGAAAGATATTTTGTGTCCCATTCAGACTGCGCTGTTATTTATCGAGTCTTGTGCAAGATTTGAACCATTAGAAGTGGGATTGTAATTTCATGTTTTGCATGTGTAGGCTAAACAAAATTTGTTTAATCTGATTATTAGATGGCATCTGGTGCATATTAAGAACTCTATTATTAAAAAATTTAACTCCTTTTTCTATCTCCACTGCAAAACTCCTAAACTTGGTGCTGAACAGTCTTATAGGGGAGATTTATCTTTTTCTGTGTGTGTGTGTTAAAACCTTTTGGAAATGGGAGGACTTAACCAAACTACTTCATCGTTTTCCCTCTTACCCCAGGCTCTGACATCTTCGTCTTTTTTTTTTTTTTTTTTTT